AAAAAAAAAAAAACAGAGGAACAATAGCAACACAAAAAAATCTTGTCTATTGAACAATTCACTTTTCCAGTCTGTGGATACCGCTCTAACTAAGTACAGCACTTTGAGAATTGTTCACATCGGACGGACTGAAGAGGGAGGCAAGACCTGTGGACCGGGTTTTCCCTCGCAAGTCTGAATCGGCTCTCTCGCTACTTATCCCGTGAAAAAAAAAAGAGAAAAAAAAAAGAAAAGAGAAAACCAACCCTGAAGGATAACACGCTTGGACGTTTATTTCCCTAATTTCGCAGGAGGCTCTTTTTCACGCAAATTGTCCTAAATGTTTGGGATTCAGGAAACTATACCGCGGGGTGGGACGACGATGAAGGAGGAACCGCTGGGTGGACTGAACTCGGTCCGCTCCTGGATGCACACAGCTGGGGTGGTGGATGCAAACACAGCCGCCCAAAGGTACGCATGCCAAAAAGCATCTGATTTTTCTCACGCATTCCCTCCTCATCATATCGACCCCTCAATCCCCTGAATACTCTGTATCAATTACGGTCTCCCAATAAATGCCCCCCCTTCGGCTTTTCCCTTCTTTCATTACATCAGATTACCCATTATTGTGACAAATCAAGAAATCTCCCCCGTATACTCCAAAAGCGTGCTTCTGCATCTCCAATGTTTTTTCCATCAGCTTCTTCTCCATCATCTTAGTATCCCCGGTGTCCGGTGCTTAACCGAGATGGTCTCTTGTTTTCTCCCCGCAGCGGTGTCGGCTTGGCACGGGCACATTATGAAAAGCAGCCCCCTTCCAACCTCAGAAAATCCAATTTTTTCCATTTCGTCCTGGCGCTGTATGACAGACAGGGTCAGCCCGTGGAGATCGAAAGGACAGCTTTTGTGGACTTTGTGGAGAAAGAAAAAGTAAGCGGCGCATTTTTTTTATTTTTTTATTTTTTTTATAGAAATACATGCAAGCCCCTGTACATAATCAGCACATGTATCGAAATTATGTTCTCTTGAAATGGCAATAGGGGGAAACTAAAGAGGGGGGAAGTCACGTGTAATATTGATTTATTAAAAAAACAACAACACTCAATTCGGTTGATGACAAGTGGGTCGTTTTTTTTTTTACAACTAAAAGCACAGAAACTCTATAATACGCAGACATGTGGCAGGTGGCAGACAGTTTGTTTTTATTCATGCCTGATTCTCACAAACTGTTTGTTTTCTGCAGGAACCAACCAGTGAAAAAACTAACAATGGGATACATTACAAACTACAGTTATTGTACAGCAACGGTGAGTCCAAGTGTCACCAATATTTTGCAAACGCATGAAACACGAGTTGGAGTGTGTGCATGAAAACACACATGTTAGTGATAATAATAATAATAATACAGGAGAATATCTGCATCCTTGTCTGAGCTCTTGATATTTTTTTATGACTTGTCACCAAACTTTTTTTTCTTCTTCTTCTATTTCTTTATTTAATTCACTCCCTGCAATTTCTTAAAAATTAACCAAGTGCTCCTCTTCTCCTCCTCTCCCCAGGCGTCAGAACAGAACAGGATCTTTACATACGATTAATCGATTCCATGACGAAGCAGGTAAGCTGCTGTTACACTTCTTCTTCTTCTTTTTACGCACAGTGCAATCTTTCCCACGTCCACGCTTCACTTGTGTAAAAACCTTAACACGCCGTGCAAAATCGTCACCCCTCACATCCTTCTCGGTTTAAAAAAAAAGAAAAAAGAAAATGTATGCAAAATGCAGTTGTGGCACAAAATAAAATCAAATTAGCGGTGTAATAAGAAGGGACAGCTTCCATTTTGACTGTTTACCTTTGACCATATCATATTGCAACGACTCTAAAGTCAATTTCACTCCGCCAGAGTTGGGCTTCTTCTTTGTAGGCTCAGTTTGTCCAGCATTAAAATTTAAACACTACCTCTGCTCCATATGATCTGATTTGACTTTCCCAGCAAAGAGTCAGAGGTGAAGCTCTAAACATATTTTCAAAAAAAAATTTGCATTAAGTGCTGTGTGTTTTTTTTAAATAAAAATAAATGTTCCTGCTGAGGTGCATTTCATCCATCATCCTTCCTGACTAAAAAAACACACTGGGGTGACTTTTAACCCACGCGTAAAAAAAAAAAAAGAAAAAAAGCAATGACCTGATAAGTGCATTTTAATCCAGCGCAAAGATCAGCAGACTTAATTATAATTAGAGAAATAAAATCAGACGTGCAGATTTCAGCTCTCCTGCTTTTTTTTTCTTTATTATTAAACAGGAGGTTTAGGTAGAAGCTTTTTTTTTCTTTCCTGGATAGAGCCGTGAAAAGCCTGGACCACTGGTCACAGACAACATTCCTGTGCGAATGATCCGAGTCAATGACGCAGAACAAGCAATTTATGGATTTCTGTTTCTACAGCTGCAAATAGCGACATAAATCAAACCAATATAGATAATCGCCCAGTTCCCAGAAAGAGGTAAAAAAAAAAAAAAAACACACATCAGGTCAAGTAGGACATCTTTTAGAAGCGGGAGAGTGATGCGACCTGGTTCAGATATGTCACTTTTTTCTCAAAGTCATTGGCCTGAAGCGTGCCAGTAAAAAAAAAATATCAGAATTTATTAATGGCAGCACAACATAAAATATCAACCCCCACCAATCCAAGGAAATTACCATGTTTATTTCTTGTATTTATTTGTGATTATGTAAAAAAAAATATAGTGTCAATAACGCGCTGCTTTGCTTGCATTTACACTTGGTGCCGGTTCAGTACGAGGGAGTAAAGTGTCTATCCTTAGAAATGGAAGAAGGAGGGAGAGAGGGAGATCGAGGGAGGGAGAGAAGAGCGGCAGAACTGATAGCTCCACGCCATCTGTTTCAGCCAATGCTCAAAAATTACTCAACCGTACCGCCAGACACCGCTTTTTATCCACAGAAAGATCATTGTTAGCGGCTCAAAATAAACAACAGATTGCCCATTAACACTTTCCCCCAAATATCCCCAGATTATAAGCATATTGATGACACTTCTATTGGATCTCTCCTTATGAAAATCTCTCTGTCTCCCTCTCCCTCCTCTCTTTCTCTGTCTGTCTGAGCCACAGGATATTACTGAGATTAATAAAAAAAAAATATTACAGTTTATTATTTTTTATTAGAATTATAAGTGCCATTAATTTTATATTTATATTTATTTTTTAAAATATTATTGCTGCCACTAAAATGCTGTTGTTTTTTTGGCCATGCATGTCAGTGATATTAGTTGTAATTGTCAATTTATGCTTATATAAATCAATACAATGTGTAACACAAGGGGATTGCTGGGATTATCTTAATCATATTTCTTACTTAGCCTTTGCTCTCGTCTAATATATCGTGCTGCTCTGACATCATGTGCATTCTGACTTATTTTATTAATTGCAAAAAAAAAAAAACAGCAGTAGATGTCTCATTATTTGCAAATTGGTGTAAATGAATATGTGCTTAAGGGACGACTGTGTTTTCACTTTGCTTCCATCTCGTTTTTGTTTCAAAGGCCATAGTTTATGAGGGTCAAGACAAGAATCCAGAAATGTGCAGAGTTCTTCTTACTCATGAAATTATGTGCAGGTAAGCATTCTTTTTTTTCTCTATTTTTTTTTTTGGTGCTTTTGCTCTGTTCGTTTTGCAGATCTAGGCAAAAAGTAATTCCCTCCCCTTCAATAAGTTTTGACACTCATGATGTGATGCAGCAATCCACACTGTCCTGTGGTCCTTCAGCAGCCACAGAGAGAGAAGCAGAGAGCTGCTGTCATTTCTAACTTTGATATGATGTGATTCAACTTTGATATGAATATGACAGTGAAAATGAACCCACTGTCTTCTCTCACTGAGGGGAAATTGACTGTATAATAAACAGCCAGTGACAAAGTGTACAAGTTCTGCTTTATTTTAAAAAAAGCAAAATGTAGTTGTTTTTTTTTTGTACATTTTAAGAATTGTACGTCAGCATTTAAACCTGCCAGAGACAATGTGTTTCCTGTCATGCATAAACGCTGCATGCTATGTAGGATTTTTTTTTTTTTCTCCCTCCTCCTTCTTTTTAAGCACAGACTCAGTTCTCGGTTGATCCCACCTGTCAACAATGATCAGCAAGCCTTTTAGTGTCATTTAACCACATAAATCTCAACTGCTCATATTGCGCTGCTATTCAGCGGTGTCATTGATACTAAAAGGAAAAACGCCTTTTGTTGTTATTGTTGAGCTCAGCATGAGCTTTGTGAACATTGAATTCGGATACTGTCGGTTAACCTCTCCTTTGTTGCACCGGTGCATTGTTCAAGTTACTGGTTGAGAGCAAGTGCAGCATGAGAGCTGAGAATGATTTGTCTTTTTCCATGCATAAACTCATCACTCACGCTCAATTTATACGTGCATCCATCACTTATTTGTGACACGTTGAATATGGCCGTGCTCTAGAGGTAATTTTTTTTTTTTTTTTTTGTCAAGAAGAAGAAGAAGAAGAAGTGCATTTTGCTGCTGAATAAAAGAACTACTACAACTGCTGCCTATTATCACATCAGACGATACACATAATAAGAAGAGAGCTGATATATTATCTTGCTGGATCTTATTTTTTTTAAGGCTTGCAGTACACAAGTTTTTGAATTATATTTTTGCGTTAATACTTTGCAGCTATAAAACATATCTTTATTATTGCATCTAGAAAGTCATGTAAATCAGGGATATTTAAATAGCGTGTGCTTGACTGACAGTAGCTTTGCACCAAATCTTTGTTTTTCTTTCTGCGCCATATGGCATAAATCAATCTTATTCACATATGTTTATATGTTTTCATTTCAAATGGAAGCTGGGATGATGTATTTGTTTATTTTTGCAGTCTTGATTCAAGTCCCAATCAAAGAAGTGAAAGGCAGCTAGCTATAGGCTTAGGGAGGAGATGGTTGAAACATGTGGTGGAAGATAGATTAGTGCTTTTGAGGCCATAATTGATAAATGCCCTGCAGAAATATTGGTTGAGGGTGGCACCTTGCATCTCCCTCAGAAATAGCAGCTTGGCAATTAGAGGTAAACAAAAGCTGAAGCTGTGAAAAGTGACTCCCCTGCCTCCTGGCCCAATCCCCACTCCCCTCCCCTCCAACACTAAGCCAAACAACACAACATGTTGTTTTCACCATTTTTATCAGCCATCAGCATCAATGGAATGGATAGATTGAGTGAAGGAAATCTCGTGGCACTTTTTTTTTTTCCTTCTTCTTCCTCCCCACTATCAGAACCGCTCAGATGCATGTAATAAATGTATGTGGTTTTGTGTGCATTATTTATTTATTTTCATTTATTTAACAAAGTATTGCTGCTCCTAAAATGCGCTTTCTATGTTTTCTGCAGCCGATGCTGTGACAAGAAAAGCTGTGGAAACAGGAACGAGACTCCATCAGACCCAGTGATCATTGACAGGTAGGCTGTGTGCAGGGCTTTCTTTTTTTTTTTTTTTGTGAACGAGGAATGAGTAAGTGAATGAGTGAGTGTCAGACTGACTAAATGGATGAGTGACTGAGCGGATGAGCAGGCACATGGAAGAGCTAGTGAACAAATTAGTTCCCTCCCAGTGTACCAGACGGCCCAGTTGGGCTGACTTGCATCTTATAGCCCACAGTGTGGGAACTGTGGGTGATTCTGTGTGACTGGCTGAGGGGCGTCTTTCCCAGGTACCTGTGCACTGAGGGGCGGTCACCACCTGGATAGGGTTTGTTCAATCACAGGTGGTTCAATCACTAGAGGATCATGCTGGGAATACACCTAATTAGCTTAGGCAACTTCACATTTATTTGGCTGGCTTCCTTTCTTTGTTTATGACAGTGATGCTTACACTGTCAATAGTTGTTTTCCATTGACTGTTTCCTTCTCTCAAGTTAGCTGTGAGCTAGATGCCATTAAAGTTTTGTTTTAGGAGGGATAAACATTTTATGTCGGCTGTTTTGTTCTGCACCTTCGGGGAAGTTACATCTGCCACATTTATATTACCTTCACCACTTTGCTAAAGAGGGAGAATAAATGGCCCTTCTTTCAGGCATTGACATTTTTGTCACATTGTGGAGCTATAGGTCTTGGTCAGCGTGAATATGTTTAGGTTGCGTGTGTGTGTGTGTGTTTATGTGTGTGTGGTGGATATAGAGGTGAGGCAGGGGGTGTAGTTTGAGCGTCGATCTCAATGTAACTCTCACCACGTAGTAGGGAGAGACAGCAATGCTAATGTTTGACTAGCCGGAATCACTGTTTGCTTAGTGGAGAATGCCTGGTATCTGACAGAGGGGACAACTCTCTTATTAGTAATCAAATAGGGCTGAGCAGTTGTTGCTGCCACTCCACTCCAGCGGCTTCTCATGCATCAGGAAGTAGGAGCTGGCTGCCCTGGGAGCCTGGATGGATTACCAGAGCTACTGCTGTCTGAACTCAAACTCACACAGACACACATGTAGATGGACGCAGATGCACACTCAGACGAGGACACGAATGAACGCAGACAGACAGACACCCACGCACGAGCGTGCACGTCACGGCATACCCCGCGTGTGTGTTGTTTATGCCGTTGCTGTGGTGAATGTTTATATTCTTTATGACAGGGCATGCACAAGAAAAAACCACTGAGGTGTTTAGGACAGGGCAGGGATTGAGTTTTTAAATTGTATTTTTTTTCCCTCCTTGCTGCGTGTGTGTGTGTGTGATACCACGTGGATTTCTTAATTCATTAGTCAGGTGTATTTGTTCGTGGCGGGCATTAACATATAACTTGAGACGTCTACTTCGCCTGATTTCCGCCGCTTTCATGTTTGCTTTGTGTTGCTCTGCTGCCTTTTACTGTTTAGAGTTTCGCACGCCATTGTTCTTCAATCTGCGGGACAAAACATGTAACTTAAGTACAATAAGCAAAATGAATGCATGGAGAATTAAAGTCAAGAAGAGGGGTGGGAAAAAAAAAGAGCAGGGGAGAAAAAAGAAGCGGATGGATATTGTAAGCTCAACTGGCTCAGGGAGGGCTCGGATTTTCATTGTGACGAGTCTGAATAGGAGTAGAGTATCCCTTTCCTTGCACAATGAGCAGCTCTGTTGAAACACAAAAGCATATGTTCCTCATTAGACCCTCCCATTGTCTCCATGTCGTAACTATGAGCCCGTCAGCTCACCCTAACAGACCCACACAGGTTCCCAGTGACTGAAGGAGGCTTGCAGAGAGGGGTGCTTGTGAAAGGTTGCAGGGTTTAGCAAGAGTTACAGACATGACCAGAGCACAGCGCAAGGCTTGCTACATACGATTATTTACTGCAATTACTCGACTATTCCCGCTGTGCATATGGGTAAGCTTTTAGTTAAGGCTTCCATGTTTTACAGCCATTTCTGTTACATCTGTCATTTTCTCATGCACATCATTACAGGCACCTGTGCTGCGGTCGCTGCTGGCAGAAACTGATTATTTCCAATTGAGTAGAACATAGTTGAGTGACATAAACCTAGAGGAGAGGTTTGATTGTTGGATCAGGCACGTCTCATCTGTCTACAATTACAGTATGAAAACCAGCTAGCACTGCCACATTTCCTAGAGAAACAGTAGCATGGCCGAAAACCTTAAGAAACAGATTTGGAGTGAATCATTGATGGCATTCATTCTCTGTAACATTTTCCCAGATGGTAAGAGGGGAAAGCGCACACAGCTAGCTGGCATCTAGCAAGACATTAACTGGCGTTCCCATGGATCTGGCATATCCAACGGAGTTTGGGAAACTTATCATTCCAAATGTGTCCTATTTTCCTGCGGTCAAGCCAGACATCTGTTTACCCTATTTTCTCTCAGAGTTTTGATACAGATTTTCACTCAGATTTTTGAAGAGGAAGGATTCTCTTTAAAAAAAAGTTGGTTAGATATAGGCCCAACAGCTGTCACAAAGTTTCAGCACCGCTTGGTCTTTAAATATTTCAGCACTTACATTTGATGCCCTTGCATTATTCATACTCATTTTTTGGATGAAGAAAGGCCCTATTTTTGTTGCATTAGGGTGGCTTTATATGTTTCGAGACTCAAGTTTCAATATCTTTTGAAAAAGTCAGTACATATTACGCTCTACAAAAATAAAAAAAGAGAAACTCTATTGTCTGCGAGTGAGCGCGCTGCTTTTTTTTTTTTTTTCCTCTCTCCCCACCTCTCTCTCCTCCGACATCGAATCAAGAAAGTAAAAATGTCAAAGTCAGCTGGTGGTTACATTAAATAAAAGAAACAGTAAATTTATCTAGTGACTAATTGCAGCGTTGTTGCTCTCGCTGCATCACTTTGCAGTTCGCTATAATCATCTCTCCCCTTTATAAATCCAGCAGTGCTACAGATGTCACATTTATAAGTTAATGGTGCTTTAAAGTAAGTGAGGGTGTAGGTTTATTTAGTCGGTAATTTGAGTCTTTAGAATTATAGTGATGAGGTACCCAATATCTGATTAGATGGTTTTCCCATTTACAGTACACGTCGTGTATCGCCAAACATAACTCAATTTACGATGACTCTTCTCGTCTGGTATCTGTCTTCACTCTTGCATATTGACTTTGTCTTCTCTTGTGTGAAAGATTAGATACACTGTTCAGGCTTACACATGGATTTTGTAATAAGACGGCGCATGTTGTTGAAAGAGGAGAGAAAATGACTCATTCTGCCTGTCGGGGTTCAGAGGTCACGTTTTACTCTGGGAAGCCGGAGCAATTTATGCAACCGGAATTGAGACAGACCGCCAGCAAACGCGTTATCAGTGCCCCCGTATGTGAATTTTAGATTTGAATGCATGTTCATACAGTTTACCGTCGTGTGTGTCAATTTACGCTGCCATTCACAAATAGATTCTGGACCAGGTCTAAATATGTCAGCTCCATTTATTCCAGCGGCCACGGCACTCCCTTTCACTTCCTGTCACAAAGGTCAAAGAGCACTGACCTTTGGAGTGCAGCCCAGCCACTGAATAATTCATGACATTGACTTGTTTTTCCCCTTATTTTTTTTTTTCTCCCCTTGTCTCTTTTTTTGGTCAGCACACATGGTTGTGCTGTGGGAGGCTTTTATTCATTTAGCTCATTTATAAAGGCCTCACCGCACCTGTTCGTGTGTTAATGCAATTAAATTTTGGCCTAATGTAAATTTTGCTTAGCTTTCTGTTATGTCCCTCATTAGTGAGCCAGTATTTTCTAAATGACTTTGCGTTATCGTTCATTTGTGGAACACCTACGAGGTCATTTCCCAGAGTGCACTTGACTTGTTGTCAAGTTGTTTACCAGAAACAAAAGACCGCAGCCTTAGAACGTCTCACATGTGGTTCCCTCGGCCTTCTAAGAAACAAATCGGAAAATTTGTGTGCTCCCATCTGGTTTTTGCAAAACCGTGATTACCTCCAAAAGCTGAACAAATGCCAGTATTTATAAGGTCAGCCCTTTATGTGGAAATGTGATGTAAATGAGAATCAGCGAAAGGGGACATTAAACAAAATTAAATTCATTGTCTCCTTTAATGTCATTTACATTTTTGGCTAAGCCCTGGACTGTCAAAGAGGATTTCTAAAACCATTTTAATTGCACATCAGCATTGGAAAAGAGGGTGTGTTTTCACTGAGCGGCTGTCTTGATAACCTGCAAAGAGAAGTCTGTTTATGAACTACCTAAATGACATGTTTTCACTGCATCTGCAGAGGGGCAATTAAGATGGCACTCGGTAGGTAGTGTTAATCTAGCATTGTGCTCCCACCATCCATAATGAAAATGATGCAGCGGATGGGGTCACTGTTGTTGTGATTTAGAGTTGATTGCTGCAGGTGTTCGCTCTTTTTTTTTTTTTTTTTTAACATAATACCGTCGAGCCGTGGGACCTGCAACGCGATGTTTTCCAGGCTTTACAGTGGATCTTCTAAGGCCGTTAACTTTTATAGGAAATGCTCCCTTAATATATTTGCACACGCATGCAAACACCTGCAAACACCTCATTTTTTCTGTGGCTTAATAATACATCCGTCCCGGTTTCGCGTTCACGGCTGCGTGTTGTGTAATTCCTGTGACAGATGTGAGTTTTTTTGACGCCCATTGAGAAACGCGAGAATAAACTGGCCACCCCTGCCTAAGTCCGACGTGATGTTTGAGTGAAGCCTGTCTCCTCCCGAGCCAGAGTAGGAAGAGCAGGAAGTGTTGAGAGCGAAAGCTGTACTTGGCAGCTCTCCTTTGGCTTGCACTTGCCGAAAAATGAAACCCAGACCCTCTCTGCAGCTCCAGAGCCAGAACCTCCTTCCCAGTGCTCCAACATCCAGGATTGGGTAATACTGTTCACTAAGCAAAACATTACCTCAAATTATTCTCGCCCTGTTTTCTATTCCCTCCTCCCTCATGTCGGTTTTATCGCAGTTTGTAAATGTCAAGACACGTACAAAGACGCACAGTAT